GGGGTCCCATGAATGGCAGCAGGAGGCAGATTGATTCCTGGGCAGAAGAGGTGGGTCCCCAGTAAGGCCCCACCTTTGGGTCAGGGAGGGCCTGAAGGCTGGTGGCCAAGCTGCCAGTTGGGCAGACAGGAGTATGGACTCCTGGTGCCTCTTCCCACCCACCCATGGTTACCCATGGACTAATCAGCATGTACTTCCTCCCCTCTGAGGTCCACAAAAGCCCTGGGCTCAGCCAGAACAGGGCAGAAGAGGAAGAGGACAGAGAAAAGATGGGATGGGGTGACCAACTGCAGAGAGAAGTATCCTCTCAGCTACGACCTGTCGGGAGAGAGGAACTGCCCTCTCTGCTGAGAGCTTCAGAGACCTCCAAGAGCTTCAGAGACCTGCAGAGACATTTAAATGACTTGCCTGAGGAGAGGGGCCACCCTCTCCCGCGCCTCTTCTCTACTGAGAGCTGAACACTTGAAGGGACGACCTGCCTACAGAGAGGAGCTACTCACTCCTCTGAGCTGTTCTAACACTAAATAATACTCTTCTTCTTCACCCTTCACTTGTCTGCGTATCTCATTCTTTCTGGATGCAGGACAAGAACTTGGGCAAAAGTGCCATGGCCACAGAGGTTTCCGGCCAGAAAAATCAACACTCCAGAGATCCCATAACAATGTGAGGCCACAGTCAGAAGATTGCAGTCTATGAACCAGGAAGAAAGCCCTCACCAGACATCAAATCTGCCACCACCTTGATCTTGGAACTCCCAGCCTCCAGAACTGTGATACATAAATTTGTATTGTTTATAAGTCACTAGTTTATGTTTTCTTATAGTAGCCTGAACTTATTAAGACAGTCAGGAACCAAGAAAAACTAGTCTCTGGTGGTCATTTGCTACTCAATGTCTTCTTTCAATGCTTTGGAAGTGGACGGGGAAGGTAGACGGAAAGGATGCCAAACATTAGTAGTTACCTTGACTTTGGCAGAAAAGGATTTGATGTTCTAAAATGTAACTAAGGCCATGATTTTGCAATTACGTAAATTCTCTTTTGCAACTGATGAATAACACTAATCAAATTACATAACCATCATATTAAATTTACAGTTTCAGGCTTATTTTTTACTTTCTAACTCAAATAATTTCCAAATTGCTAGGGACTTGACACCTTTTGATGATTTGTGGGAATCAAATTTCTGTAACATACTCTACTGTTTCCAAATACACTTTTCTGTAAGAAGGAAACTGTTGTTGAATTTGTAGCAAAACTGTAGGGTTTAAGTTCTTATGGTTATCAACATTGCAACTCTGTTAATTAGGGTTGGAACAATTCTATTCTTTCAGTACTTGAGGAATACAGAAAACAAGAAAAGTACTCACTGAATTTATGGAACGAATTATTCCTTTCCTGTTTAGCATTAATATATTGACCTTAAAATTGTCTCTTGAAAAATAAGTCACGTTTCCAATCCTTAGGGATACTGCAGTGGATGCCTTTTCTCTATCAAGTACAATGACCCACTGAAAAAACAGGCTAGCACAGGTAAAATTAGAAAATGCTTTCTGCTTCTCCAATCAAATAAAAATGACACCGAACATCATAAAAATATACATTAAGCTGGGCACAATGGTTCACGTCTCTAATCCCAGTACTTTTGGAAGTTGAGGCAGGCGGATCTCTTGAGGTCAGGAGTTCGAGACCAGCCTGGCCAACATGGTGAAACCCCGTTTCTACTAAAAACAAAACAGAACAAAATTAGCCGGGTATAGTGGCAGGTGCCTGTAATCCCAGCTACTTGGGAGGCTGAGGCAGGAGAATCACTTGAACCTGGGAGGCAGAGGCTGCAGTGGGTGAGATCGCGCCACTGCACTCCAGCTTGGTGGACAGGGTGAGACTCTGACTCTAAAAAAAAAAAAAAAAGAAACAACAACAACAACAAAAAACAACCAAATAACAACAACAAAAAAACCCAAAAAACAAACAAACAAAAAAATACATTAATCCTATCTTACATGGTTGGTTAAAGGGAGATGGAATTAAAGTAAGATAGGAATGTACAAAGAGGTAGAAAACAGAAAGGAAAAGAAGCAGAAAGATAAGAACATCTGTAGATAAAGAATGTTTTCTTGAAGTAGCATCTTTGTATTAAATGATTTTCAAATACTAACACCACAGGATTTTAAGGTACCTATATGTTCAAAAGCAGACACACAAATAGATACTTTAAGTTCTAGGGTACATGTGCACAACATGCAGGTTTGTTACATATGTATACATGTGCCATGTTGGTGTGCTGCACCCATTAACTCATCATTTACATTAGGTATATCTCCTAATGCTATCCCTCCCCCCTCCCAGATGCATCATCTCTTGATACTTGCCCCAAATTAAGGCAATAAAAAACGTCAGAGGGATGATGTTGAGAGCCAGTGAAAAACTCAGTATGTGACCCTAAATGTGGAAAAGTGTTTTCATTTAAACTTTACTGCATTCTATCATCTGGCTGAGTCATCTATCTCTTTCCTAAGATATCAACCTATTGTACACTAACTTCAAAACATTCCAGAGCATTAACTTTTAGCTTTCGTTTTGTCACACCCTCCTATTTCAATCTTTCAAAACCACATCAAACAGATGGTGAGAGGCATCATGAACAGAAAAAGGAAGGCATTACTTAAGAAGAAAAGATTGTAGAAGAGTACTAATGAGACTCAGTTGTGCTCAAACCTACTCTCCAAATATCTAGCATACTGGATTTGCCAAACAATCCTGAAGTTTTGTTTACTTAAATAAAGTCTATTGGCCATTGAGTGATAAGCTATTAAGCTCTTCCTCAATTAATGTCTAAGCTGAGAAGAATAAAAGGTATGATTCAGAAAAATAAGTCAGAATATGAATTATACCTACTTTTTCAGCATTATATAACAAAAACAAATTTGCCTATATACTATAGCCAAACAATTATATTTATTTGCTGAAGATTAAACACATTTTGATGGAAAGTATCTACATCCACAACTGCACGGTTCACACTGATAGCCTAATTTACTCCAGGAGAATGAAGTTAATCATAAAAGTAAGTAAGATTTTCAACATCTACTTATTTGTTATACTTTGAAAGTGATCCTTCAGAAAATGTTAAAAAAAAAAAAAGATTTTGCTACTAGGGGAAAGAATCGATAGGGTATAGAAAACATAGATACCCTGCTAAATCTGGAGAGGTCAATGACACCAATTAAGCCATGAGTATTCATTTGTTAATTCTTTCCTTAAATGATGAAGAGTGGAAGGAGTGGGGGAGTTTTCATGCATTATATAGTCTGTACTATTTTAATAATTGCTCTTACAGAGGACACGTATCTTCTTAATGTGCCAAAACACTAGATCTGGTTTAAAAAGCAGCATGGCATACAGTATACAATATAAATCAGAGTAACCAATGAAGTCTAGAGAATCCACAGATTTTCTAAGAGAAGATGGTATTCTTGGACAGGTAGTTTAAGAGACTAAACCTCCACCTCTACATTTTTGAAGCTTTAATGCATCATATTAGTAGTGAAGAGTTAGCAGTGTTCGAGGGCTGAACCACATAACTCTTACTTGTCACTATCTGGCCTCAAGCAAAGTCACTGATAATAAATCTCAGTCTCCTCATCTGTAAATAGAAGGCTAAAAATCGGCTCATTGCCAAGGCTTTTTCGAGCTCAGAGTATATTTCTACACAACCCTTTTAACTTACACTCAATCAGAGTTTATATTTGGAGCATAGCCTAAACCTTTACCGATTCTTAGCAGTAAAGAGAAATAAAGCATGTAACTGAAAAATGAAAACAGTGACGTTAAAGATATCACACATTACTGGAGTCAAAGACACAATGAACAATAAACACAGATAGCACAGTTGTTAGCCCAGAAAATTGAGTCAGAAAATCAGTCAACTATGTGAACGACTTTGACAAATCCTCCTGATCACAAATCCAACAGTACAGAAGTCCAAAGATTCAAGTTCTAGGGTGGGTGCAGTGGCTCACACCTGTAATCCCAACACTTTGAGATGCAGATGGGTGGATCACTTGAAGTCAGAAGTTTGAGAACAGCCTGGCCAACATGGTGAAACTGTCTCTACTAAAAATACAAAATTAGCTGGCGTGATGGCATGCTCCTGTAGTCGCAGATACTTGGGAGGCGGAGGCAAGAGAATCACTTGAACCCAGGAAGCAGAGATTAGAGTGAGCCCAGATCATGCCACTGCACTCCAGCCTGGGCAACAGACTGAAACTCCGCCTCAAAAAAAAAACAAAAAACAAAACAAAACAAAACAAAACTCACGACCCTCCAACCCCTCGACAAAGATTCGGGTTCTAGTACTCTGCCACTGTGCAGAATTCAAGGGTCTGGAGTCATAGACCACAGAGGTCAAATACAGTTCCAACCCTTAGTAGCCTTGTAATCTTGTGACTTAATTTCTCTGAGCCTCAGTTTCTGCCTCTGAAAAATGGGAGCACATTATCTCATGGGATCATTGTGAGAATTAAAAAGCATATTTAGCACCTATGACAGGATCTACTGCATTGTAAGTATTAAATAAATGGGATTTTTGCCTACTTTTCTCTCCATAAGATGGAAATAATACTTTCCCTAGGTTCCTGTTAGTATATTAAGAAAATTCCAAAGCTGGAATTATGTAACATTAAAATTAGAAGGAACCAAGGGCTGTCAATTTTACCTCTAAATCTTTTCTCCATATCTTCCATTTCTTATCATTTACCCTAGTATCACCCTGGTATAAGCTACCATCATCTCTCGTCCTACTACAATGACCTCCTTCAAACCAGCCCTCAAAATCTCCATCTCTTCACCCTCTCCTCACTCCATTCCTGCACAGCAACAAGACACATGCTTAAAACTCTCTCACGTGCACTCAGAATAAAATCCAAACTTTATGGTAGCCTTCAAGACCTGACATGGGCTGACTTGCCCGAATTTATTTTTGCCACTTTCCCTCTTACTCACTTCCCAGTACAATGTCCTTCTTTCAGAATTTTAGTAGTTACCCTCCTTGCCTCTGGGCTTTCCCATGTGCCTCTGTCATTTTGTCTCAAGGCATTCTGTAGGTCTTCATAGAACTCATAACCACTGTAATTAAATAATGAGGTTCACAGTTAGTTGTTGAACGTCTGTCTCCTGGATCATGTTCACCACTGTATCCCCAATACTTGGGACAGTGCCTGACACAGGGCAGGTATTCAGTAAATATCTACTGAAGAGTAAACAAAGAGCCATCTTAACCAAATGCTTCATTTTGTAGATTAGAAAGCTACAGTTAGGATACAAGTGACTTGCCTAAGGCTGAGGCACCAAGAGTTCTTTTTTCCCAGGCCAATATTCTTTTGCTACACTTAACTCTGAGGTCCCTTCTACCTTTAACATTCTATTATCTCTGAAAATACAATAAAGTGTGAAAATATCTTACAGATGGAAGATACCTCTTTTTCATTTTGTACAATACATTTTGCTCTATTTCCCACTCCCCCACCGGGCACTTTTATTATCCTGTTTCTCTGCTTCCTCCTAAAGTTAAATTTAACATACTTACTACATAATCTAGTAGGCGAAGCAGATAATTCCTGTAAACAAGGAATTATATCCAATAAGGTAAATGCAACGGCAGGATGAATGAAGCACAGAGAAAGTACAGTATAGGCTGTACTTTTTTGTGCAGGGAGTAGTAAAGAAAAAAATTGTTGTGAAGGGAGTAGTAAAAAAGGAATTACAGAGATGATAACTTGAGATAGCTTTTGAAGGATGATAGGCGTTTGCCAGGTGAAGGAAACATTCCAAGCAAGGGAAACAGCACGTGTACAGAGGCACTGCATCCATTCAACACATACTGAGTGCCTACCAGCAACTCCAAGCTGCTTTCTCTACGGGGAAAATGGATAGGTCACTGAACTCCACAAATGGTAGTTGGTACTGCCACAGAGAAGACGAAGCTGCAAATGTAGTGGAAAGCAAGGGTCAGGTCAGAGCACCTTGTATGCCATGCTCAAAGGCATGTACTTTGATCTATAGAGATGGAAAACCACGGAAGACTTTTGAGCAAAGAAGTGACAAACTCTGATTTACATCTGTTTTGAGTTCCCACTCAGTTCGGATTACGCCCCAGATTCAATAAGGAAGACAGAAAAAATGCCTCGAGAATCCGCACAGGCCAAACACAACATACCAAACGGCCACACAAACGATCATACTAGATATTTACAACAACTTGCTGAGATGGTTGGGCAGAACTCACTACCGCACAGTTAAAGACAAAGCTTGGAAATGGTTACGTGACAAATGTGAGGCGTCCAGGCCCGGCGCCCCAGGGTTCCCGGACACCGCCCGAGGCCTCCCCACCCTCCGGCACACACCCGCTCACCTCTGCAAGTTCTCGATCTCAGCCGGGATGCTCTGTAGCTGGTTGCCGCCCAGGCTCAGGGTCTGCAGCGCACGCAGCTCTAAGAGCGAGGCAGGCACCTCCTGGAAACAGTTGCCGCTGAGGTTGAGTACCTGGAGGCTGCGGCAGAGCGGCGACTGAGCCAGGCCCTTGGGCAGCGCACTGGGCCCGCCGAGCCGGTTGTTCTTGGCCAGCAGCGTGCGCAGGCCGCGCAGCGCAAGCAGCTCCGGGCCGAGAGCGGTCAACGCGTTGCCGCTCACGTCCAGCAGCTGGAGGTGCGGAAAGCCGCTGCCCAGCGCCCGCGGCAGCGACACTAGACGATTGTGAGGCAGCAGCAGCCGCAGCAGTGCCTCCCGCGCGCCGCGCCGCTCCTCGCCCCGCGCCTCCAGCTCAGACTCCAGCGTCTCAGTGGACACGCTGAGGCGGGACCAGTTCAGTTCGGCCTCCCCGGCCGTGACCACCGCCGCTCCGGCCTCCTCCATCCTAGCCACCGCACGGCGCTTGGCGCTGGATTCCCCAGAGCGCCGCGCGGCGTCCACAGGCCGGGAGCTCCGCGGCGCCCCGGAACCTGAACCAAGAGCTGAATCGGAAGTGGCCCGGGCGGGCGCTAACCCTGCGCGCCTTGGCCGAGTCACGCGACGCGAGGCCCTGGGTTGCGCGCGCCGCTCCGGGGCGGGCTCTGCCTCACGAGGCGCGGGGCGCGGAGTGGAAAGAGCGTAGCGTGGGCTGCGCGGAGCTGAGGCCGAGACCCAGAGGCTGCCAAATTGTCATCAGAGCCGGGCCGGGTTTCGGCGGCTGCGCTTTATAGTCGCTGGAGCCTGGTGACCTATTCCAGGGCTCCAAGACTGCCTCGGCAACAGCCCAAGGATGTTCGGTTATCTGGCCTTGAGGGTTCGCGCGTCACGTGCCCCTTCCCCGCCCCCCGCTTGTTTTTCAGTTGAAAAGTGGGGCCGGTGTCTGCAGGACTCTGTGAGCACACAGGAATTTAGTGATGATTTATCTCCATGACAGAAAACCCCAGGAATTTAAAGTCCGAGGATTAACAAAACCGACTTCGAAGTGTGAAAGCAGCTGGACTAGACATCAGAACCCCCGATCCTTACTGGGGGTTCCGCTGTTAAATAGCCTAGGGCAGGGATTTGATTTCAGTTGCCCCATGCATAAAATATGGGTAATACCCGCACTACTTGCCCCACAGAATTATTTTTTTCTTTTTTAAAGCATAAATGTATATCAAGTAAGGACGTTTTGCCCGTTTTAATTATAGAAGCACATACGTGGTTTTTGGTCTAAGTTGTGTCTAGGAGTGAATTTGGAAGTCTTGGAGGCAGTTCCATGACTTGAGATAGCTCAAATTAATGAGTTAGTTTAAAAACTCAGAAAGCATTGAGTTTGTACTGCAGGTCAAAACTACAGTTTGGGAAAATCCTGATCTGGTACTAATTTAGTAATTCTAATTAACATATTTTTCATCCTTGTCCCAAACTCAATCTTTTCTGAAATTACTTTTTATGATTTTGAAAAGTCATGAATAGAAATGAGAAAAAATGCTTAGCTTTTTTTTTTTTAACAAAGCTTATACATAAGAAAGTTAAGTGGTTGTGTATAATCAACGACATTAAATTGCTTTCCTCCTTTGAAAAAGAGGAAAGTCGTTTTTTTCTTGCCAGTCATTTATCTGTATGAGAAACTATGCCTTTACTCTGCAGTCAAACTTTAATTTCTGATTGAGTTGTAGTTATAGAAGGATGTACTTTGTATGTTTAACCTGATGGTGGAATGTTTTGTAAAACTGATGAGTCATATGTTTTGAAAGAGGCCTTTTAAGAACAGACTTTAGTTTGGGTCAAGCCAGCATTCTAACAGTAGTCCTAATATCTGAAAATTACAAATATTTAAAATAATAGGTTTTTTTTGCTTTAAAATATTTATCTGAGATTTTAAAAAGTGATAGGAATGTAATGTAAAATGGGAAAAAGAAAGGATTCAAACATAATTCAGAAATAAGAGTTGGCCAGGTGCCATGGCTCATGCCTGTAATCTCCCGCGCTTTGGCCCAGATCAGCAGATCGCTGAGGTCGGAGTTCCAGACCAGCCTGGCCAACATGGGGAAACCCCGTCTCTACAAAAAATACAAAAATTAGCCGGGCCTAGTGGCGCTCCCCTGTGTTCCCAACTACTCAACAGGCTACTGGGAGGATTGTTGCAGCCTAAGCGGTAGACGTTTCAGAGAGCCATGATTGTGCCACTGCCCTGAACCTTTTTTTTTTTTTTTTTTTTTTTTGGTCTCAAGAAAAATAAAATAAGAGGTAAGATTACAAATCAGTGGAATTAAAGGGAAAAGATAACCTCAATAATAGCAAATGAGGCTTCCTAGTAGAAAGTTTGGAAAAAAATACTTAGGATGGGAACTCCACATTGTATAGAATAAAGGAAAGGAAGTAGAAAAACAGTGGTGTAGGTAAAGAAATGAGTAACCTGACAAATTTTGAAAACCTGCTTGCAATGCTGTACTGGGAGCTATTTTAATTTAATAAAGTCTCCAAATACTTCGTTGTTGAATTTAGGATAAATGTAACCAGACCATCGAGCAGCTGAGATAACTGAGAAACTGCTTTCTAAAAGTTGAAAATTGTGTTTCTGCCTCTTTGAAGCTATTGGCAAGGAAACTGTAAATTTCGGTGTAAAATACATATCTCATGTCCAATTAGAGTAGGTTCTTACTTACATAGAATGACTATCTTTATTCATCTTTGGATTCTCCCTCACACCACCACCATCCCCCATTGCCTAGCATGATTTCTTGCAAATAATTTGGATTGAGTTGGATATATCTCTTAGTTAGTGGACTTATTTTTTGAATAATTAGATTAAATTGTAAAGTCCATGAAAAAAACTATTTTATTATTATATACTCATCCCCTAACAGTGCCTGGTCCATAGGAAGTACAAGTACTCTATATCTTTTGAAACACTGAATATATTTGTAAATATTAAGTTTTAGTTGAAAAGGAACTTTTATTTATCAAACACCTACTTTTATCACAAACCTTAAAAAATGTAATTCTACTTATGGCCACATTTATAAAAAATAATGTTTATCCTCATTTTAGAAATGAGGGAACTCAAGCTCAAAAATGATGAGTAAAGTTTGCTATCACAGAGAGTGAAAGACTAATTAGAAATTCAGCCTTAGGGCTGTGTGGCTCCAAAGTCCACATTCTTTCCATTACACTACACTGCTCTCTTGAGCTTAGTTTAGTTTTTTTTGTTTTTTGTTTTTTAATTATTCAAAGCAATAAGATCTTGCAAATAGTGTCAGTATTACAAGTGGCATTTATCCATTGATGGTACTTTGAAATATTGTGATTGTTGAAATTATACGGCACTTGTCTTAAGGACTGGGGGTTTAGTGGGCTTCATACACAAAACTGGAGCAGAAGCACCTGAACCAAACATAATTTGGGTTGCCATCCTTGTATTATATGACCTCGCTTCAGAACCTATGTTGATTAGAGCCAAAGTGGACATCTGACCAAGGTAAGCCCATCAACAGACGACCTGGTGGCCTATCACTTATAAGGCACTGCCCAAACAGAAGCAGTTAAGATTTTTTTTTCTCACTCTCCCAGGAATTTAATCCAAAGAACCCAGAGGGAAATTGCAGTTGGTGGCAGATGAGAAAGAAATCACAGTTGAATCGGAAAGAAGCAGACATGAGGAGTGTCGCTAATTTTTTGTCAATTGTGGAACATAAGTGCAAAGATTCATAAAATACTGCTGCTGAAATCTAGGACTGCCTTATATCCAGAGTAACGCACCAGGGGCAGCTTCACTGAGGCCAACTTGTTAACAGCTGGATTAAATGTGAGCATCTCATTACTGCCCAGTATAATTACCCTTCTCTATCTTAGATAATATGGATGTATCTCTTTTCACTGCAGCCAGATGGGTTTAAATGAAGCAGCATCCCCCAATCCTACAGTGGCCCTTGAAACCATCCAGTCAGCCTGGAGAATACTGAAAACTTTCTGGGAGGTAAAAGAGCTATGGTGGCTTGTGAGCCCCCCACAGTGATGGGGTTCATCTGTGGCTAGCTGAAAGAGATGCCCGAGAGGGGAGTGGGGGCACTGGAGAAGGTAAAGGACAGAGGAGACAACAGAATATGTTACATAGGGAAAGGAATATGGGTTACAGGGAACTGGGAAAGTACATGGCCTGTTTGTCCACTTACCAGAACTTCACCATTGTGTCATGGTTGGTCAAATTGAATACATTTCAGGATGAGTCTCTTGACTGGAATAGTATTGGAGATTTAGGAGACCAAATGACTTGTCCTCCTCCTTCAGCTTACTTGTCTAGGCTTCCTGAAGGCGGGAACTGCATCTGTTTACCATGGTATCCCCCAAGACATCGTAGGTAGTAAATAGTGAGTGAATGAAATAAATGCATGAATAGTTTTTGACATACCTGACTTAAATAGGCCCTGTTGACCTACTGACTGCAGAAAAAAACAAATAGTCTAAGTAGAGAATCCTTTCATAAGCCATTCCAGTTAGGAGGCAGCATACTGATGCAGTTAAAAGAGTGGGCTTTGGTTTTTATCAGATATAGGTTTCAAAACCCACCTCTAGAAATCAGATTTCTCTTACTTAATCTTGATTTTGTTACTTAATTTCTGTAAGGCTTGATTTTATCATCTGCGTTATAAAGTATATGGTCTGTTTCATAGGGTCATTGTAAGGTGTAAATCTAAAGTGCTTAGCATAGTACCTAGCACAAAGTCAATACTCTGTAAGTAGTGGCAATTATTATTATTAGCTGTAATAGTTGTTATTGTTATAACTATTGCTCTCTGCCACTTGTAATATCATGATCAGGGTAGAAAAACAAAATTGAGAACAGTCTTTACTCATGATTTCACAATTTTCTACAAAAACCATGGTCCTCTGCTCAGGGCCATTCCATGTCTTAGAGATTAGGATTTGGGAGGTTGGTCTGAACTCTATTGCCCGAGATTTATGCTTATTGTCTTTTTTGTCTTCAAGGTATATCAGGACTTCATGCCTCCTAAACCCACTCTTACCTTTATTTTAGCCACCTATGATTCATACTATCCTTTCTAAAGCACTGCTCTCATGATTTCAATCCATCTCTTCTCCTCCTGCCTTTACCCCATGTTTCCTCATTGCTTATCAGATGAAGGCCAGTTGCTTAGGCTAGCATGCAAGGTTTTGATTTATTTCCACTGCTAAATCCCTCTCAATCTGGTTTATCCATATTGGCCTAGGATGGTTTAAAGTTCTGCCATCTTCCTGCCAGTTGTCCAAATCTCAAAAAACCAGTTACTGTATGTTTAGGGCAGCTATAGTCTTTCAGTCGATCCTGAGGAGGAGTTGGCTTCTATATTTATAGGGGCCAAGAGTAAGTCTTCAGCCAGTTTTGTGGTATAAGGTCAGCAGTTTGATTTTCAGCAGTTCTTCCTCTGTCACAGTTTGCTCTTGCTGTAGAATTGATAGATTAAAATGCCTCCTTAAATATGTCTCCAGGCTTCTTTATTGAAGTTTAGGCCCTTTTATTTTGAAGATTCAAATAATAACATGACATCTTTGGATATCTTTGGAGTCTTAGACTAAGCATTTTTAGAGCTATAAAAGCATCTTCATGGCTACTCCCATTGAATTCACTCCGTTTAGGGGTTTATCTTAGACCTGGTGCGGTGTTTTCCTTATTGATTGTTTTGGGAGTTGGAGCGATTATCTTTTAAATTTTACCCACTTGCTCAGCCTATGTTGATTCCATATTGGCTTGTTTGACCTTTTCATAGATAGCTAGTCATAACTACAACTATAAATGAGCTAAAATAATTTTAATCCCTAGTTAATTCATTCACATATAGACACTGAGTCCCTACTGTATGTAAGAAACTGTACTATATATTGCAAGGCATAAAAACTAGTAAGAATAATAGGTAATGTTTATTGGTTATTTTATAAGTGCCAGGCACTGTCCTAGGGGCTCTGTAGTCATTATTTTTATTTAATCCTCACATCCCTTCTATAAGGTACATATTATTATCATCATTCTTCAGACAAGAAAACTGAGATGTGGGAAAATTAACTTGCCAAATCACGTATTTATGGTGTGCTGGATAACAACATAGTAGAATGTTCATGATTTTGTTCACATACAATCACTGCCTTCAAGAGATTTACTGTATGGTAACAGAGATTAAACATGAACCTATAAAAAATCCTAAGTTAAAAAGGGCAAAAGATCTGAGTAGGCATTTCTCCAAAAAAGATATAAAAATCACTGATAAGCACATGAAAAGATGATCAACATCATTAGCCATCCAGGGAAATACAAATTAAAATCACAGTGAGCTACTGTGACATACCCACTAAGATGGCTAAAATATAAAAGACAACTAATAAGTGATGGTGCAGATGTAGAGAAATTGGAACCCTTATAGACCAATACTGGTGATGAAAAAGTGGTGCAGCCACTTTGGAAAATAGTCTGGCTGTTCTTCAAAAGGTTAAAAAAAATAGTTAACATATGACCCAGCAGTTCTACTCCCAGGTATACACCCAAGAGAAATGAAAACATACGTCCTCACAAAAACTTACACATGACTGTTCTTAAAAGCATTTTTCATCATAACCAAAAAGTAGAATCAAACCAAATCTCTACCAACTGACAAAGGATAAATAAAATGTGGTATTTACATACAATAGAACATTATTCAGCAACAAAAAGAAATGAAGTGCTGATACATGTTACGACATGGATGAATCTTGGAAACGTTATTCTGACACATAAGTGAAAGAAACCAGTCATAAAAGAACACCTACTGTATGATTCTATTGCTATGAAATCCTCCAAAATAGGCAAATCTGTAGAGATAGAAAGTAGATTTGTGGTTGCCAAGAGCTAGAGGGAAGGGAGAATGGGTAGTGGTTGCTAATGAGTACAGGGTTTCTTTTTGGCAGGATGAAATTGTTCTAAAATTCATTGTGATGATGGTTGTACAACTATGAATATACTAAAAAGCCATTGAACTATACACTTTAAGTCAGTAAATTGAATGATAGGAAAATATATGAAGTATATATCAATAAAGTTATTTTTAAAAACATGAACCCAAAGTAACTAAAATATAAAGTAGCATTTGGTAACTCATACAGAAACATAACCAAAAGCTATCAAAGTTCAGAGGAAAAAGACCATTTAGGCTACCACAGTTAGGGTAGCCTTCAGAAGACAATGGGATTTGGATGGAGCTGGGATGAGATATACAAAATTGAAGGAATGAAGAAAAATATTTCTTAGAAAGCATAGCAAAAAGAAGGAAAAAAATTACAGCATATATTTGGGAAATGGTACGGGGTCTGATTTGGCTGGCATGCTTAGTGCTGGTGGTTAGAATAGACAAATATTGATATGCTTTAGATAATTATGGGAGAAAATATTTAAAATTTTAACTTTGCCCCTCAAAATCTAAGGTGTGTTGTCAAGATACAGTACAGAGGAAGAGTAGTAGACTTTGAAATGATAGGTTTGTCTAGACCTTGGAGAAAGAGGTATGAGTACTAGGTAGGAGATCACCTCTGATTCTGCCCTCACTGGAAGCTCCAGATCCCATTTCCTTATTAGCTCGTGTTTCCTTATTAGCCTTGCAGTCTTGGGAGAGTCTGTGGATTGTGGCACCTGTAGAAATAGTCTTATATCTGAGTACAAAGTATTCCTCATGGTTTCTCAATACTGTGCTGGCATCAAGATATTCCTCCTCTGCTTCAGGTGAAAGTCAAATGTAAGTCAAGCCTCAGCCCCCATAGCATGAATTTGAGAAGTGACACAAACTGGTCATAATTATTTCATTCCATTACATTCCAGTTGTCTTGAGAGCCTACTATGTTAAAAAAAATTGTAGTAGATGCTGTTGGGGCTAAACAAAAACAAAACCGAAACAAAAATTCCTCAACAGGTTGTGTTAATGGATATAGCTTTATTTTGAAACTGCATAGGTGTTTCCTTCACTCAGCCACTGATGAGAGAAACTGAGAGGTTCTGGAGACGCAAAACCAGGAGCTAACTGCTTCATTCATAGTCTGATGGGGCGAGGAACTTAGGGAAAAGCTCCCTTTTGCACCCATTCCCAGCAACAGGCCTCCTATTCTTGTCTTCTTCTTATTTACCCTGTTGTAATAAGTATATTTACCAAAGGAAGTGTTCCTTCAAACCCTTCTCTATCGTTTACCTGGACTGTGCTGAATGTCAGGACTAGGTCAACCCAGCTCAGACCCAGATGTAACCCATGTGCTGTGGGGTTGGAGAGAGAACGGTTTCCTAACAAAGAATTGGCCACTACTGAACTTGAGCCTCAAGGGTAATGGAAAAGGCTTCAAACAGGAGATACAAACCATGCTTATGCCTAAGAGGTGGAGAGTAAAGAACAAATCTCACTCTCTCCTTCCTGTACTGTCACTCACTGTACCACATTGTATGTGGTCTCTTCATTTCTTAATTTTTTCAATTATAAAGTATTTATTGTAATGTAAATGTAAAAGGTCACTTTAGAAAATTCAGAGATATGAAAGGAAAACAACTGAAATCACACACAATCTCATCATCCAGAAACAACTATGGTTTACATTTTGGCGTATTTCTTTCTTTTCCTATATGAACATATTTCTTCCCACAAAGTTGAAATCATACATATATGTATATGTATATTAAGTTTTATATTTTTATTTTTTTACCAACAGTTGAATAGTAAGCATTATTCTCATGTTATTTAATTATTCTTCAAAGATGTTACTTGGAACAAATAGGTTGCAGAATAATTCCCCAACATTGAAAAATTATGGAGTTCCTTTTGATCCACTCTTCTACCATAATAGCTTGCAAACACTTTTTTTTTTAGCTAACAAATACAGCCATTGAAATATTAAGTCTCATGGAACTCTTTGCTGAGCTTTTGTAGCAACGTTTGGTAATAACAGTATCACCAAGCACGTTCCCTGGGGATAGCAACAGGTGTCCCTTCAAAGACATGCTGACTCCACCTCACTTGCTTCTCACCTGGTTGATCAGAGGAACCAGCTGTAATACAGGTAAGCTCTTTTGATAAAGAGACTATTTATTTGGGAGAAATTGTTGACTGTGTTTGTAAACTGCAGAGTCAAATGATGGATAATGTGACTGAAGTGTTGAGGTATCTACATTCCCTTGACACTTTGTTGACACCTAGAGCTGGTTCATTAGAGTTCTCATTGTTCTTCTACAAACCAGAGGTGAAAAGGGTACAATGCAAAATCTGTGTGCACTGCTAGAATTTTCTGTTTTGGGATAGTTTATGCTTGTCTTTAGTAGTATATGATTTTTTTTTTCTCTCTTTGTTGTTTTTCTTTCTTCTTCTTCCTGGTTTTTGTTTTGTTTTATTTTGTCTTATTTGTTTGTTTGGTTTTTTTAGATGGAGTTTCATTCTTGTTGCCCCGGCTGGAGTGCAATGGTGCAATCTCGGCTCACTGCAACCTCCACCTCCCGGGTTCAAGCAATTCTCCTGCCTCAGCCTCCTGAGTAGTTGATATTACAAGTGCCCATCACCATGCATGCCTGGCTAATTTTTTGTATTTTTAGTAGAGATGGGGTTTCACCATGTTGGCCAGGCTGGTCTCAAACTCCTGACCTCAGGAGATCCATCTGCCTCGGCCTCCCAAAGTGCTGGGATTACAGGTGTGAGCCACCGTGCCCGGCCTCTTGTTCCTGTTATAAAGTGAAACTTTGTAAGAATCTTACACCAAATTCAATTCGATTCAGTTAATTCAACAAATACTTACTGGGTGCCTACAACTTGTAGAACACCATGATGGATATATGAAAGACAAAGAGAACCTAGCCATGCGCTTAGGAAACTTACAGTCTAGCAGGGCTGATTAGATAGGCATATAAATAACTGCAAGACAAAGAAGACCAGGCTATAAGAATATTTAATGAAGGAGAAATACTCACAAAATAGTGTCATGAGGAAAATTAAACTAGTCACTAAACTGTATATACAAATTGAGTTTTCTGAAAAACTACACATACAAAAAACTGAAATACTCTAAAATGGTAGTAGTGGCTGTCTGGGTGATGAATTAAAAGTGATTTTAATGTTCTTTATTCTTTTCTATTTTTTCAAAAAATTATTTACAGGGAAACTGTGCTACTATTAGGATAATTAAAAATAAGCTTTACTAAGTGAGAGTGTTATGCAACAATAGAAAATGTAGTGCAAGTGGTGAGGAGCAAAGATTATAACTGACTGGGGTGGGGGAATTAGAAAGGCTTTAGGATTTATGTCTCATAATGATGAAAAACTTTTTTTTTTTTTTTAATCTCCCTCTGTCACCAGGCTTGGAGTGCAGTGGCACGATCTCAGCTCACTGCAACCTCCGCCTCCCTGGTTCAAGTGATTCTGTTGCCTCAGCTTCCCAAGTAGCTGGGACTACAGGCACGTGCCACCACTCCCAGCTGATTTTTGTATTTTTAGTAGAGATGGGGTTTTACCATGTTGGCCAGGATGGTCTCGATCTCTTGACCTCGTGATCCACCTGCCTCGGCCTCCCAAAGTGCTGGGATTTTTTCGCTTGTTTGATTTCTTTTTTTGAGACAGAGTTTTGCTCTTGTTGCCCAGGCAGAAGTGCAATGGCACGATCTTGGCTCACTGCAACCTCTGCCTCCTGGGTTCAAGTGATTCTCCTCTCTCAGCCTCCTGAGTAGCTGGGATTACAGGCATGCGCCACCATGCCTGGCTAATTTTTTGTATGTTTACTAGAGACGCAGTTCCGCCATGTTGACCAGGCTGGTCTCGAACTCCTGACCTCAGGTGTTCCACCCACCTCGGCCTCCTGAAGTGTTGGGATGATAGGCTTGAGTCACTGCGCCTGGCCGAAAAGCTTCTATATCTTAGAAATAGTAATAAAGTTTTACTGAATTGAAAAGACATTATATTTCTACAATTTTTTTCCCATGACATTTGACTATAGTCTCTGTCTCCATTAATGATAGGCTGGGTGTAGTGGTTCATGCCTATAATCCCAGCACTTTGGGAGGCTGAGGTGGGCAGATCACTTGAGCCAGGAGTTCAAGACCAGCCTGGACAACATGATGAAACCCCATCTCTACTAAAAATTACAAAAATTAGCTGGGCGTGGTGGCATACACCTGTAATCCCAGCTACTGGGGAGGCCAAGGCAGGAGAATCGCTTGAATCCTGGATATGGAGGTTGCAGTGAGCCACAATTGTGCCGCTGCACTCCAGCCTGGGCAACAGAGCAAGACTCTGTCTCAAAAAACAACAACAACAACAACAACAACAAAACCTATAGCTCTAGTAGGTGCTATCTGCCATAGTATCTTTTAAAATTTATATTATTTTAGATATGTCTTTAAAATATTTTACTACGTACCATGAAGAGATATTTTCTAAATCAGAAGATGATGTCAATCACTAATCAGATTTATAGAGTATATAGACTTGGCAAATAATCTTACCACTTGTTCCACTGAACCCAGAAATGCTTTATTTGGTCATTGGCTGGAATGGCTACTCCTTTGTCCTCCTTTTCTTCTGTATTTCAGATTTCTGTATCTGTTACTGTTCAACCCACAGAGCACATATTTTTCAGTGTCTAATAGGCTCTAGAAAGAGTTCCTAAATATTCTGCAAGTCATCTGCTTCATCAGCCCATGAGCGTCCTGTTTTGGTGGATGCCCTGGGTGATGTGGCTTCCCATGGTGTGCGGGTGACATAGCAGAGGTTTGTCAGGTCAGAGTTTAGGTGGAATGTACAGGCCTCAGCTAACTTACAGAGTGAGAGTCTTGTCTCTGTGTAACCTGGATGAATTATTTATTTTCCCTCTGCCTTAGTTTCTCACTTATAAAATGAAGATAATAATAGTACCTACTTTATAGGCTCATTTTATAGATTAAATTTGGCATTTGTAAACATTTGATGTAAAGTTGCTATGATGATGATGATGTATCATAGATAGACTTGAAGGACTGTGGTAGAATTTTTTTTTTTTAATCCTAAATAGATAACAGGAAGAAGAGGAGAAACTAACATATGCTGAGCAAGTACAATTATGTTATCTTTGTTTTCTTGGAAATAGTGAGGGGCCAAAGAACAAGTAAAGAAATAATTGCCATGCAGTATGAATCACGCAGCAATAAAAGTATGTTCAAAATAAAGAAGAAGAAATGATGAACTGCATATGGGTCCGGGAAGGCTTTGAGAAGTGCTACTTGGGCAGAGTTGCTTTTTGTTTTGTTTTGTTTTGTTGAGACAGGTCTCGCTGTGTCACCCACGCTGGAGTGCAGTGGTGCGATCTCAGCTTACTGCAACCTCTGCCTACTGGGTTCAAGCGATTTTCATGCTTCAGCCTCCTGAGTAGCTGGGATTACAGGCGTGCACCACCACGGCCCAGCTAATTTTTTGTATTTTTATTAGAGATGGGGTTTCGCTATGTTGGCCAGACTGGTCTCAGATTCCTGGCCTCAAGTGATCTGCCTGCTTTGGCCTTCCAAAATGCTGGGATTACAAGCATGAGCCACCGAGCCCAGCCTTAGGCAGAGTTTTGAATAAGTGAGTAGTTGGGGAGTGGATGAGGGCAGTGGTGATAAGGGATATGCCAGGCACGGAGGATTTGGACAGCGCCATAACTTTGGGATGGTAGGTGGAACGTAAAGTACAGGGGAATAGTGAGAGATAAGGTCAGAGAGGGAGGCTGGATTCTGTCTGTGAGAATCAGTGACTTTACCTGTATGTAGATGTGCATTTATGTCAGAGTTTCTCGGAAGGGCTGAGTGTTCCTAATTCCTTTATTACACCCCTTCCAAAGCTATCCTAAGCTTGTTAATGCCATTCCTATTAAACTGCGGCCCTGGCTGGGCAGACTCATTTAGTACTGTCTCTTGGTTATTTTTCTCCATTTGGGAAGCATTGCAACAGGATTTCTAAGATACACTTGTAAAATCTGCTAGTTAAATGTCCTCCACTTTGGACTTGCACCAGCAACATCCAGAAAGGCCAGTAAGCATGGCTTGGGAAGCATGGGAAACTGTCTTTTGTCGCTCATACATCTTCAGGGCTGACTTCAGATCCAAATGACTTCAACTGTGACTCACTTAGAGAGGCAGATTTTCATATTATAGAAAGAGAGTTCCTGGTTCATGCAGCAAAACAAACAAACCTGCACAGAATTAGCCTGTGTGAACTTGACTCAGTAGACATTCCCACATGGGGTACTGAGGTGCTGGAAGCCTGTCTACTAAAGTTGCACTGGTGGGCGTGGAATCTAAAGGGGTGTCTGTGAGGGCCATCCTGGGTCCCAGCAGCAGGTGGCTCCATGGTTATGCTGCCCCACACTTTCTTGGCTGAAGCAAATTTTCTGCCTTTCATTTTGTTCCTTACAGAATGTCCTTCTTTTTGGTGACTGCTAACATACTTCTTCACAGTGCAGGTGAGTCATTTTTCAAAAAACTTTGTGGGCTTTTATGAAATAGCTTTGGGGATAGTGAGGAAAACAGTTGTTTGAAGATAAACGACATAATCTCTCTGAACCTCATTCTTTTCATTTGTTAAATGAAAATAAATTTATTTTTTATAGGAAAAATTATATTTATTTAAAAAATCTATATTTACTTCACAGGAAATGGTTAAGAGCAGATGGGAGAAAATAACAGACGCATATTGTAAATCATTATTGTTTACTCTGCTTTCTTTTTTTAGTGAGAAAAACTTCCATCCCACCCCCCAATTTGGTTTGTCCATTTGAAGCTGTATCTGAATCTCATTCATATCTATAGTACGAACCTCCCAACCAAACCAAACCAAACAATACTAGACGCCCACTTTCAAGTGACTCTGACAAGTGCCAATTTATATAAAGTGTAGTATCCAAAATACTTGAAATCAGGTCTGTCCTGAAAAATCTGGATGGGCAGCCAACAAAGGGTTTATGTAACTCTTTTTGTACTCAAATCTTCAAATCTCTTGGTGACAAACAATATACAGATGTTGGAAATGTTAATATGATTCAACTAACCAAAAGTCCATAAGCAAAAGTTTTTTAAAAAAAATACCGTGTATTCCAAACCTGGCTGTATAACTCCTCCGTAAAGTGATCAAACACATTTACAGTCTTCAGGCTTATGCCATCTTCCAGAGACCTGCAGCAATTCTGTCAGTCCCTTAAAGGTGGCAGCAACTTGAAGGCATCCTCAGGCCCCAGAGTTCAATTCAGGAGTTAGTACAAGGCCTGGTCAACCCAGGTTACATTTGCTGGCTCTTTTCTCATGATGTTTGATTATTCTGTGTGTGTGAGTGTGTGTATGTGGTGGGGAGAAGGGCAGGGGTGCCTGGATGTGTGTGTGTGTGTGTGGGTAGGGGAGAGCAGTAAGCAAAGTAAGGTGGTAATCCACTCATAGTTACGAAAAACTCAACCAAATAAAGGAATAGGTATGTATGTAGGCAAGAAAGGGAACGATCTATTGGTTCTAATCTCACATTTTGTAGTAATATTAAGAACTTAATACTATGTGCTAGGTACCATGGCAGGTGCTTTAGACAGTATCTTTCTACATTTTTCTAAGTGTTCCCCCACATTATTAGCCTTTTCCTGAGCTTTTGCCTTGGCCTCTTAAGCCTTGGGAAGCTAAAGACACATGGTCTAGAAATAACATAGATTGAAATTGACAAAGGAGTTACTCAGATTCGAGCAGGGCCATCTGCAGACATATCAGTTAGAAATTGTCTTTTATACCAGTCACATCAGCAGGAAGTTGTGTTTCATGATGCATTGGCCAGAGCCTTTGAATTCCTGAGTTTGAGACCTCTTCCCCTGGGCCAGAAAGGGTACAGCTGTAGCAAGAACTCCTGAGTATAACCGGAGAAGCTAGAATCAAGGACCACTCACGGGTAAACTACATATTCTTGTGAGAGACATTGGGGTGGGGGAACAGCTTACTAAAGTGTCCACTCATCTACTGTACTCCTGTCCCTCTGGAAAATGACTGAGCCATGTCATATAAAAACAGTCCCTAAGATCCCATGGTATTTCATTAACACCTGGGGCAGGTGTTATCATTCTAATTATACACAAGGAAACTATAACTCAGAGAGATTAAGTGCCTTTCCTGATGCCAAATGATTAGTAAAGGGATACTTAGAACTAGAACTTGGATTTACAATTGGTCAGACCAGGATTTTACCAAAAAAAAAAAAATCCCTCAAAAACTATAATTAAACATTGCTTTTTGGTGATTACCACTTCAGAAAAATAATTTGAGCAAGAAAGCACTTCGTGTTTTTACTTGCAAATCAATCCTTCTAAAGGTTATGCAGGTTGTTTCTCTTTACCTTCTTTCCATCCTGTCTTGTAGTCATTCATTCATTTAATTCGTCACTGATCCATTCATCAAACTTCGAACCAGTCCCTACTATTAGGAGACGAAAGAGCACATTTCAATTGGAGAGCTTTGGAGTCAGACTGCCTGGTATTGAATGATAGCTCTACTACTCACTATCTGTGTATCTTTGAGTAACTTACTTCACCCACTGTGCCTTGGTTTTTTCAGTAGTATATTGGGGATAATAACACTACCTGCCTCAGTGTTAGTATCAGATTAAATGAATTAATGCCAGAAAAGCTCCTAGAATATGTTTAGAACATTGTAAATACTTGATAAATGTTACCTGATATAGTCAGAGTTCTCCAGAGAAACAGAACAAACTGGAGAAAGGGGTGGGGGGGGGGGGGTTGGGGAGGCAGGGAGAGAGAGAGAGAGAGAAAGAGAGAGAGAAAGTCTGATTTTTTTTTAAGGAATTGGATCATGCAGCTCTGCTGTGGAGGTTGAGAAGTCCCAAGATCTGCAGGCAGCGAGCTGGAGGTGCAGAACAGCCTATGGTACAGTTCTAGTCTGAATCTGAAGGCAGGAAAAGACTGGTCAAGCAGTAAAAGCAGGAGTTCCCTCTTACTTGAAGGAGGGTTGGCTTTTTTGTTCTATATAGGACTTCAACTGATTAGATGAGGGCACCTACATTAGGGAAGACAATCTGCTTTACTCAGTCTGTCCATTCAAATGTTAATCTTATCCAGAAACACCCTCACAGACACATTCAGAATAATGTTTGACCAAATATCTGGGCACCTCCATCAACAGCCACGTGGTTGTCACTACTGGAATGAGCAGATTATATCTATCATTCACCTGGAATGTTCCCTACTACATGTCTCTTGGGCTACTCTTTGCTGGGCTGATGGCTTGGAAGCTTCCTTGTCTACTAACTTACCATTTGAATTTGCTCTTGATGCATAACCTATTTTGTCTTCTATTTCATCTCACCTTGATGAAATTATATCATTATATCATTTGATATAATGAGGTGAGATGAAATATCAAACAGTATTCTTATTTAGGCTCACACTGACCAACTCTTCTGTCTTTCCACTGCTTGTTTGTTACCTGCATAGTGTCTCTAGGAGGAAAAAAATTGCCTTCTTATTGGAGTCCTTATTTTCACAATGTTTAAGTCTCATTATTCTCTCTTACTCAAGCTGAAAATTTGATTAGTCTTTTATGTTCAAAGGTTTGGTAACCATGACCCTAATGGTCCTTTTTAAACTCTGAGAGGTCTTATTTCTTTCTGAAGTGGTACTAGTATCTTACTTTGTGACCTTAAGCAATTTTGCTTCCTGGGAATCAGTTTTGTCTTTTAGTAGCAGAGACATTTTACAGAAGAATTCGATTTGGAAGCCTAATTCATAAAGTAAATTAGAGAGGGATTGTTCTGATTGAAGTGTTAAGGCAGTGGAGATCTCACTGATTTGGTCTTCACCTGGTCATCAATGGAAACCTATGAGGTGGGCTTGGGGAAAATAGTTCAAAAACATTGAATCAGAGAATTTGTAAGCTTTCTTGCAAATATAACACACCAGCATTCTATTCCATGTCATTATTCTATGAACATACATAGTGCATGGCTATATTCCCTGTAGCCCTCAGGTCCTGCTATTGATAGCTCTACCCAGGTATTTGTGGCAGGTAGAATACACTTACTTACTGAACATCTTTTTCTGCCTTTCTGATGTGCATTCCTGGATTGCTGAAACTGGAGAGTAAAACGTATTTCCAAGATTCCTTTGCAGTTAGGGTTCCGGGAATGACTTAGAGTGTGCCAATCAGATACATTTTCTCAAGAATTAAATGGCAACTGATTGAAGTGGGGAGAAAGGTGATAGTGCATGAGGCATCCTTTCTTTGCAGTGCAATCTAGCAGGTGCAGATTGGCTATGGAGGCAACACCTGTGGTGATGACTGCCTGCATCACCAGCTTCTTGTTAAGGCAGAGGCAACTGTTCTTCCAGAAGACTACTGCAGTATTGAGTCTAGCATAATGTGAGGGAGGACAGACACACGTATTACACGTCTCACCTTCCATGCCCTTCTTTGGGCTCATTTCTTCAGCCTTCCAATGATTTTGTAAATGTCTAGTTCTCTGTACTAAATCCCCTCTGCATGAAATAGCTAGAGTGATTTCTTTTATCGCTTACTAAATCTCACCAGATGCAGTGCTCATTGGTCTTTACTAACTTCATTTCTTTGACATTCTCAGTGTCTACAGAGGAGCTGCAGGCCCATCCATTCACTGATATTACCCTCTCCTGTCGTTTCTCCTTTGTGAAGGGCACCGAAAATCTTGAGTTTTCTTGGGAAAGAGAAGACATCAAAGAGGAATATGAGGTAGAGGATGATAAAGAAAATTACCTCTTTTTCAAGTACTATGATTTTTTTTTAAGTTTTCTCAAAGTGGTTTACCAGTTTCACAATAACACAGAGCAACTGGAAGATCAAAACTCCTTGTATGAGGGAAGAGTATCTGTGGATCAGGCTGAAATTTCTGAGGGGACTCTATCACTTTTCCTAATAAATGTGGATTTCATGGATGAAGCTATCTACAAGTGCTCAGCCATCACACCAGATGGAAGAGGTGAAAGTACGATTAAGCTAATGGTAGAAGGTAAGGAAATTTATTGAATGAACTTGATTTCAAGCTCTGTTTCTATTCATAAGTTATAATAGCAACAACTTATCTAGTTCCCTCACTTTTCCCCTTTTACTCAAATTATTATAAACTCTTCTTATTCCTATCATGTCAATTCATCTTAGCTAAAAATATTGCCCTGAGCAAAAGATGCCGTATCTATACCTATGTACATCATTCATTCACACAAACAAACAAAACATTAACAAAAACAACAACCACAACAACAACAAGCACTGGTCTATCAAAAACTCTACAAACAAGTTGTAACAGTGAAAAATCAAAATATGATATAACGTAACAGTCTTACATGGAAACACTGAGATATGACATGTGGTTTAGTGAGAAGAGCCCTGCCTTGGGAGTCAGGAGGCCCATATTCTAATTTTGGATGACTTTGGGCAACTCATTTAGCATTTCTAGGCTTCACTTTTTCTCACTATTAAAATGTAGGTTGGACTGGATCAGTGGATCTCCGTAGTGATCCAGGGGTCCATACCCTTCACAGGATTGCATGAAGAGCTTTTTCCCCACCAGAGACTTTCGGGGACTGGGGAAGGCATGGCAGAATTCCTCCAGGATAAGAGTTGGAAGACATGAGAAGGTGGTGGTGGTAAGAATAATTCGTTATCTTCTGTGTTTCTCAGCAGGGTATCTGGAGTTCAGTGGAGAAACTGGAATGAATCCACTCAAAGAGGGGAAGTTTCCAAAAAATAAAGACAGCAGTGATAGATAAGAACTGAAAGGCAGGAGCATACATGTGTCCTGTTCTTCTCTTACTATGCTTGGATCAAAATTTTAACTACAGTGAACCTCAAGGTATGTTGCCTACTTAAGGGGTTAATGTAAAAAGCGAGAGCATGTTTTCTGCTAGCCTGAGCCTCTTGGGGCTGAAATAAAAGAGGAACTAATTGTTTTGTTATTTTTTCCAATCAGACTCTGAAATGCCCCAGGTGCAGTTTGACAGGATTGATGATGAGGATGTAGCCACATGCATCTCAAAAGGACTAGTACCTCATGCCCATTGTGACATGGCTGGACCGGGCAGGGAGGGACCTGAGCAACCACAGCATCGTGGAAATCCTGGAGGAGCAGATGAATGGCTTCTGCAGGGTGTTCCCCATCCTGAAATACCTTGTCAGGTTAAATGAGAAATATGTCTTCACATAACAGAGACAGATGTAAACAACCAGCTCTTCAGAATCATCCACAAGTACCCAAGTAAGTGCAAATCTGAAAGGAACAGTGAAAGTGGGGTGCATTTCACCACAAAAAAAGTCACCATTCATTAATATTTACTGAATGTCAAATATATCAGGCATGCCTTGGCACTTTGGGGATTTAAAGAAGCATCAGGAACATATGCTTGGAGCCTTGGGCAAGATAAGATGGTGAAGTGGAGTCTCTTTGGGTTTGAAAAAAGAACATGCTTCAGGGACTGACAGCTTTCTCCTGATAGATGTGACTCTTACTATTGATGAGGCTTCTTTTCCTCTGCACAGAGCATCAGCTTTATGACACGGCAGGCTGAGTAGTCATAGTGCCCATTTATTAGCCTCTCACTGTGTGCCTGGCACTTTACACATGTCATTTTAATCTTTACCTGCATTTTAATTGTTATTACTGTCCCCCTTCTATATGAGAAAACCGACAAGTTAAATAATTTGGCTAAGGACATAGATAACAAGCACAAGTATCAGGATTCAAACCCATTCTTTCTGAATCTAAAGTTCATGCACTTCATTTTTCTTATACATATACCACACTGCACTTACAGATCTAAGACTATAGACTGCATGAATAGATCTAAGTCATATAAGTTCAGAGAAAGGGAGTCCTTGTGTAATAAGCAAGGAGGCAAGAAATGGAGTCACTGCTCCCACTCATAAATCCTGGCCTGTCTTTAAGTTGCCATATCAAAGGCTGTCTACATTCTGGGGAATCTTAATAGAGTCCTCCAGAGAAAATTTGATGGATACATTTTCGTGTAGCTATTCTGTTACTTCTAAACCATCTAAACTTTTTCAAGTCAGGAATTTGAACAACAACAACAACAAAAAAGCATGTTAAAAAAAGAACAGGTACTTGCTGAACACATACCATATGCTAGGGGGGACCCAGGTACTTTTGCATAAGGTATTTAACCTCACAATGACCTCTGAGTTAGATACTAATATTACACTATTTAGCAGAGAAGGCAACCAAGGCTGAGAGAAGGTTAAAGTATTTACCAAAGGCTACACAGCTGGCAGTCTTAGAACCCAGGACTTGAACTCTTGTCTAATTATTTAAAAAAGCTTGGGCACATTCCACTGTGTGGTTGACTCCTGGGCCCTAAGTTCCTCATGTTAAAGTATCCGTAGCTTCAGGCAGAGGTCATTGATTTATTCTGCCACGTGTGACCTCACCTGCCTCTCCATCAAGAAGGAAGGGATGGTGATGAATAAACTTGCACGGTGAGCTAATTCCGTCTACTTACCTGTATCTCTGACTTAGAGACCCTTATTAAGACTTCTTTGGAGGGTTAGCTCTGGCAGGGACTTTAGCCATCATCTACCAATCACAGCATGTAGGGGTGAGGAAACAGAAGTCCAGAGAGGTGAATAATTGGCCAAGGTAATACAGCCTCTATACAAGAAGTATTAAGGGAGTCTGACTTCATGCAAAGGTTGGGCAGTTACCTTTCAGGTCTAGTCTGTATGGGCCTGGCAATTAATCAAAGCATTCAAAACACTATTGCAATCCTGGATCTCCCAGTAACTAGCCGTAAATATTTACAACCATTAAGAGTATTTATTTAAATTTTTAGTGACTTGGGAAAATACCCACACTATCATGTTAAAATTTTAAAAAGCAAAATAGTAGCTTGTATGTGTAGCATGAGCCCAAGTTGTTTAACTATATGGAGATGTAAATGATAGGATGTATTATTATTATTATCATAATATGAACAGTAATTACTGGTAACCTCTGCATGATAGGATTGTAGGCATTTTTTGTTTTCGCTTTTGTACTTGTGTTTTATGCAACATTCTATAATGAACATACATTATTTTTAGTCCAAAAAAGCTATATGTTTAAATATTTAAAAAATGTCTTTATGAAAAATGGTTTACATGCCATAAAATTCACCCATTTGAAGTGTACAATTTAATTGTTTTTGTATATTTATAAAAATGTGAAATCATCACCACTATATCATTTAGAACATTTTAATTGCCCTAAAAATAAACCCCATGCTCATTCACAGTCATTCCCCATATCTCCCAGTCCTAGGCAACCACTAACCTACTTTCTGATTTGCCTATTTTACATCTTTCATATAACTGAAATTATACAATATGTGGTCTTTTTAAACTGGCTTCTTTTACTTGGCGTAATGTTTTAAAGGTTCATCCATGTTGTAGCATATGTCAGCACTTCATTTCTTTTTATTTCTGGATAATAGTTTATTCCATTGTATGGCTATTACCACATTTTATTTATCTATTCATCAGTTGATGAAGATTTGGGTTGATTTCACTTTTTGGCTCTGATGAATGATGTTGCTGCGAACATTCACATATACGTTTTTATGTGGAAATCTATGTTAAATTTCATTTATCTTGGGTATATACCTAGAAGTGGAATTGCTCGGTCATATGGTAACTATTTTTTAACCCTTTGAGGAACCACCAGACTATTTTCCAAAGCGGCTGCACAATTTTACATTCCTACCAGCAATGTGTGAGGTTACTGATTTGTCAACATCCTTGCCAGCACTCGTGATCTTTTTTATTCTAGTCATTCTAGTGAGTGACATTTGAGGTTTTGATTTGTATCTCTCTGGTGGCTAATCTTGGGCATCTTTTAATATGATTACTGTTGCAGTCCTGGATCTCCCAGTAACATCTTCTTTTGAGAAATGTCTATTCAAATTCTTTGTCCATTAAAAATTGATTATTTATCTTTTTATTATTGAGGTTTAAGAGTTGATATATTTTGAATACCACTCCCTTATCAAATATTTGACTTGCAGAAATTTTCTCCCCTTCTGAGTTGTCTTTTCACTTCCTGATGATGTCATTTGAAGCAGTAAATTTTCTGATTTTGATGAAGTCCAATTTATCTTTTTTTTGTCACTTGTGCCTTTGGTGTTATATCTAAAAAATTATTGCCTAATCTAAGGTCACAAAAATTTACTTGTATGTTTTCTTCCAAGAGTTTTATAATGTTAGTTCCTACCTTCAGGCATATGATCCCTCTAAATTAATTTTTTATGTGGCATGAGATAGGTCTCCAACATCCCAGGACCATTTGTTCAAAAGGCTATTCTTTCCTCCATGGAATTGTCTTGATGGCCTTATTGAAAATCAAATTACTATAAATGTAAAGGTTTATTTCTGGGCTTTCAATTGTATTCCATTGATCTATGTATCTGTACTTATGCCAGTACCACACTGTCTTGACTACTATAGCTTTTTAGTAAGTTTTGTCACAGAGGAGTGTGTTCTTTTAACTTTGTTCTTCTTTTTGAAGATTGCTTTGACTATTCATATTTTGGCATTTTCTTATGAATTTTAGGATGAACTTGTCAATTTCTGCCAAAAAGGCACCTGGGGTTTCAATAAGGAATGTATGGAATCTGTAGATTCCTTTTGGGAGTATTGGCATTTTAATGATTTTAAGTCTTCCATCTATGAACACAGATGTTTTTCCATTTGTTTAGGTCTTTTTAAGTTATCTTCAGTGATGTTTGGCAGTTTTCGATGTATAAGTCTTATAATTCTTTTGTTAAATTTATTCCTAAATATTTTATTCTTTTTCATGCTTTGGAAATGTAATTGTTTTCTTAATTTCATTTTAGAATGTTTAATGCTAATATAAAGAAATACAGTAGATTTTTGTGGATCCCTTCATATTTTCTGTATAGATGACCATGTTATCTATGAATAGAAATAGTTTTACTTCTTCCTTTGCAATCTTGATTACTTGTATTTAATTTTCTTTCTAATTGCCCTGGCTAGAACCTCCAGTACAATGCTGAATAGAAAAAGTAAGAGTAGATCTCTGGGAGAAAGCATTCCATCTTTCATCATTAAGTATGATGTCAGCTGTAGGTTGTTGTTACTGTAAATAGATAATATCGGGTTGAGAAAGTTCTCTTCTGTTGCTTGTTTTCTGAGTGTTTTTATCATGAATAAATTTAGGATTTTGCCAATGCATTTTCTGCGTCTGTTGAGATGATCATGTGGGCTTTATCCTTTATTCTATTAATATGATATATTGCACTAATTAATTTTTGTATATTGAGCCAACTTTGTATTCCTGGGATAAGCCCTACTTGGTCATGGTATGTAAGCCTTTTTCTATGTTGGTAGATTCAGTTTGGTAGTATTTTGTTGAAGCTTTTTGCATCTGTATTCATTTGTAAGAGATATTGGTCTGTAGTTTTCTTTTCTTGTGATGTCTTGGTCTGGTTTTGGTATGAGGATAATATTGGTTTCATAGGGTGAGTTGAAATATGTCCCTTATCTTCTGTTTTTTGGAAAAGGTTGTGCAGGATTGGTGTTAATTTTTCTTTTAATTCTTTAACTTTTGGTTTTATTTTTCCTATTTTTCTATTCTCCATTTCATTTATTTCCATTCTAGCCTTCGTTATTTCCTTCCTTCTACTTGCCTTCGGTTTAGTTTTATTTTCTTTTTCTAGTAATTTCATTTGAAAGATTAGGTTATTGCTTTGAGATCTTTCTTCTTTTTTAATATAGCCATTTCCAGCTGTAAATTTCCCCCTGAGCACTAGTTTAGTTATATCCATAAGTTTTGGTATGTTGGTATGTTGTGTTTTCATTTTCAATCATTGCAAAATATTTTCTAATTTCTTTTGAGATTTCTTCTTCGGCCCATTGGTTACTTAGGAGTGTATTATTTAACTTCCACATATCTGTGTATTTCCTAAATTTCATTCTGTTATTAATTTCAAATTTCATCTCATTTTTGAAAATTGGAAGTGTGAATTCTTCAACTTTGTTATTTCTCAAAAATTTTCTGAATATTCTGTATCTTTTGCATTTTCATATGAATTTTATGGTCAGCTTTTTCAACTTCTGGTCAAAAGCAAGCTGGGATTTTAATAGGTATCATGTTGAATCTGCAGACCAATTTAGATAGTACTGTCATTGGGTTAGTCTGTTTTGCATTGTTATAAAGGAATACCTGAGGCTGGATTACTTATAAAGAAA